ATGTGACCGGAAAAGCATGCAACAAGAAACACATGAAATGACAAGAAGACTCTACTAACTTTGTTCCTTCAATGAGGCGTGAAGTGATTACAGGTCACTAGAAAAGATCTAGAACCAAGCCAGAATCCTCATCAAGAATTAACTCTCAGTTTTTCAGCATCATAATGTTTTCAGGCTACCACCTGAAAACTGATGAACTAATGCTTTAAATAGCTTATGTGCATAAAGCTTGCAAGTTTTCTTACAGCGTTTTAGTAACAATTTGATCCTTAATCTTGGCAAAATTATGTTAGGCTTTTAAAGTACCAATAAAATACATCTATGAGTTTCTCTTTAGGTTTTGTTGCTTTTTTTATTAAAAAGAAAGTAATTGTTGACTGTCTTGTACTAGCCTGTGATCTGAGCTCAGTCAGACTGATCAGCAGTGACAGCATGTCAGAGGTCATTACCATTAAACACACCTCAGTGAACAATTCAATGGAGTTGTCATTCCACCAGTGGTAGCCCTCACAAGTGGGTTTAAGAATCATAGGGAACGAATTCCACATCATTCTGGGCTAACCTGCATGCCTGAGCACCCTCTGCTGCTCAGCGCTGGCTGGCCCGAGCAGTTCTGCACGGTCCGTCCATCCTGCGGTACGTACGCACTCAGTGCAACGCTGCTGCTGGCAGCTACTGCAGAAAGGAGTAACACCTGAGCATCCTTAGCCAACACTTGTGGTTCCTCTTGGAAACAAGCTTTGGAAACAAGCGTCTTGGTTTTTTCAGCTTGGATATTATGGCTTTAGATTAGCCCATTGTCAAAGGCAAGATGTTTGTGCGCATGTTTTATATATAAATATATACATATATGTAAGCATATGCATGTGTGCGACTATGTATGTACATGTATTTATATACACACAGCTATCCATATATACATATATGGATACACACATTCATATATATGCATATACATATAATATACACATAGCTATCCATATTTTATATATATGCGCATAGATTTTCTTGATCATTTATTTTCATAAACAGGCTTTAAACTTGCCCTCCTTTTTTCATTCTCTTGCTCATATTGGCAAGAAACATGTGTGTGTGTCCATTATGTCTGCACAGAGAGGGAGAGGGAAGGAGGGAAATGTGTGTGCATATATATATAAAAATATATATTTTTTTATGCAGTCTCAGCTGACTGTAATCCATAGGCCTCCACTCTATACAGAAACACTTATCTATCAGCAGGTCCCCTTTCATGTATTCTGCATAAATGCTACAGCCATCCATTACAACATGACTAGGTCAGCAGCATTTAGCTCTTCTCTCCCCCCATGAACAGATGCTAAATTTCTTGCTGTAAAGCAGAACAATGCTGAAGGTACTATGTGGACTGCTTGCAGCCATTTATAACAAATGTCTGAATGGAGCCTCCTCCTCTGTCAAGGTTTTCAGTAAGTGCAGTTCTATGGAGTGCTGGTAATTTAACATGAGCTATAGCTTCAGAGCAGGGATGCCAGGTATCCTATGACAAACAAGCACAGCCCAATTTGGCCTTCTTTCACCTAAGTAAAATTGTAAGTGTTCTGTCAGAGTGCTCTTGCCCAGACTGGCAGCAAGCATAACCATTTTATACACACCCATGCAATGCTATAAGTGCTCCTCCCAAATCCCCAATCTCTTCTTTACGACCCCAAAAGCAGCCTTGGGAGAAGCAGCACCTCCTGTACAAAGAAACAATGTCACGCAGGGTGGGTCATGTGGAACAAAAGTAGCTACAAGATGGAAGAGTGAATGAAAGCACCCAAGCGAGGATTGCAGCGTATGCTACAACAGCACACAAAACACCTTTAAAAAAAAAAAAAATCCTATCACCTAGTTCCATACTACAAACTTACTCTTTGCTTGTTAAAAGTGTTTCAGTAAGAAAAATAAAATTACTTTAAAAGTGGTGATGGGACTGAATTTCACACAATGGGGAAATTCAGTCTATTAATCATTGAGTTAATCTATTTATTCACCTTGAAAAAATCCTGATCAGGAGAAAGTCTATTAAAAGAATACAGGGATTCAGCTGCCACCTTCCTCACTGAGTAAGCAATCAGAAGATGCCCCTTTGAACCCTGCGTTAATAAAACTCTCATTAAATGCAAACCTGCACAATGTTATCTTAAAGAGGCTCGTTAGCTTAAAAAAATTACTTGTCTCAAAATGTGCTTATTTTCTCAGAGGTGAGAAGGTGAGTTTTCAAACCACTAACTGCTGCAGCTTCTTATTTCAAGCCCATGAGCGCTGCAGCTATATCTTGCAGTCCACCGTGCCTCAATTATTTACGTAAACCACAGAGACAAATCCACAGACAGAAGTTATTATCACTATTATGGGACAGGACAGCAATAGGGATCACTCATTCCAGTAGGGTATGTAAGATCTCAGCCAGATCAGACTATTATTACTCTGTCTTCTTCAAATTTTCATTTTCTTTAGGTTAGACAGAAACTATGAACTGTCTGTAAAAAGGAGAGGTATGGAGAGAAGGTAGGAATAGCCTCCCCGGCCCTCAATACTCAAAAAGAACATTCGTGACCGCTCTTTTCACTGGAGTAGGGACTAGAAAAATCAGATAATCAGCAAAAACAAAACCCAATCAGACTGCCTAGTGGAGAACAGAGTCCAACTAAGAAGTACAGTTAATACCATAATAGGATACACAAAGTGGGATCTCTCTGCGGCTGAGTTTAAACAAGAACGTGTCAAAGATTCTCTAGGTATTACTCATCTTGACTCGGCATTAAAGCAATTAATCAGATGACCTCACCAATCCAGCACTGTGGGGTACAAGCAGGACTGTTTTATGTGTCTCCCCAACAGTTACTCCTGTAACACTAGTATTAAGGGTCTTTCTACAGACCTTGCTGCAGAAGTGGGACAGCCAGACCAGGACAGAGTGGTCTTTCCCAACAGATTGCAGAAAGCTTCAGACCTTGGAAGGCTTGAGGCATTCCTCAAAGAATTATCCTCTCATCCTTCTGCTGCATGATCTTCAATTTTCAAACACCTAAATTCAGTCTTTAGGCCAAGAAGGATGATTACATTATCACAGGCCCTTCACTTCATCCATCTTCGCTGTACCGAGACAAGTCTTTTGAAACTTTCTAGAGCATGTTCTTTCAAAAAAAGGCACCTAGTCCTAGTCACCGCTTTGACAGTCTGATGTTTCAGTCGCCTTCACAAAAGCATCTTCACCTTTTGATTTCTCCAGCTTCCAACAACCAGCTGTTCTAAAATCTATACAGTGAAAGAACCTTTCAAATGTAGTATTTCTACCATGAGAAGAAAACAAACAAGTAGATGAAATACCCACACCTCACTTTTTTTTTTTAAAAAAGAGAAACTTGGGAAGTCAAACAGACTAACTTCTCTGAAGTCTAATCCCTCTCCAGGCCTTGAATCGTCTCTAATTTAGACCTTGTCTAATTTCACTGTGTGAAAAGCCATGAAAGTCATTCATGAAAACTTCTAAAGCTAGTGAAAGACCACATGAAATTTCAACATATGTAAGCAGTTCAGCAGAGCAGGGGAAAGCTACCAAAATCCTGGAAGAGAAACATATCAGAGGTTTCACTGGTTCCAGGCAACACCATGCACTGAACGTGTCCAATACAGGCTGTCCGGGGAGGGGTGTCAAGGTGCCAGTTTTTTGGTTGTATCTTGTCTCAGTTGAATGCTGATCTTTACAAAAGCAGCTGTTAAGCCAACAGGTAATGACCCAATGCAAATCTTGCTTGCACGAACAAGAGGTGAGCACAAACCCTCTGCAACCACTTGCTTTTGTTAATCTCTTCCCGGTTTAGACTGCTCTCCCTGGGTATACAGAGAATTCCCAGGGCAGACACTTTGTGTCACATTAAATGACATTAATTTGCCAACAGCTATCTGTTCTGCTGCTTCACTCTGAGTGCATTATCTGCCCACAAGCATTCATTTATGTCTGTTTATAAAAAATAAAAATAAGGATAGTAGCAAAATAAATCTTCTGGAACCATACGTGATGTTATTAAGCTTACAGACTTACTAAAGGAACCTTTAAGATGGTTTATAGACGTAAGATGTATATTGACTTGAAAGATGCCCTCAGAGAGTTCGTCCTACACAATCTCTTTTTGTAGTGAGGAAAATGGCAAGTACTAGCAATGTAGCAGTAGTGGTGTTGCATAGACACCAAGTGTCTGCGGTGACCAAAGTGATGGATAGATATTTTTTCAGTATAAATGCTCGTATCTTTTATGGTTTGTTTACAAGCCAGAGATAAACAGTAAATTCTCAACATTCTTCCATCTTCCAATCAATCAGATCCATGAGCCTCTTGTCTAGTACCCAGCTTGGTCAGTACTAGCTGCTTCAGAAGCCAGGAAAAGAAATTATTGCTGTCATGAAGGAATACAGCACAAAAGCACCCCCAGATATTCCTTAGCCCTACAAGTAGAATACAACTTCTGCCCTTGAACAGGAGGAAGAGGTTTAAGACAACACTGAAATGTCCTTAAATAATCAGTTTTAAACACACCCAAAATCTTGCGATGTTAAAAGAGGCCTCGAATCTGCTTATTACAGCTGGCTTATAGTCCCCTTCATAGCTTCACAGAATTGCAATAGGATCATGCAACAGAAATCTATTAGGTCTACAACTGCTCTGCCAGCACAGCATTGTTCCCTACTGTATAACTTCTCCCAAGAATGCTGTGAGGATTAATTCATTACAGCTTGTGCCATGCTTTGAAAGCACTCAGTCTACAGAAGAGCCAAGCAAATTATTAGAAAGAAGACAATCAAACCCTGGTGATCCTCTCTTTATCCCAGTGGGCCCTGTTTAGAGCAGCAATTTAGCCCAACAAAGAGAACAAATTCAAAACCAAATTCAATACAACAAATGTGGAAGTGTCATGATAAGAATGCAGTCACACAGGACACAAGAATCTCTAAAATGGTTATTAACTTCTACTCCTTACCTAATATTGACTAATGCATGGGTCACCTTGCTTGCAGGCTCTTTCCATTGACCAGCATTGGTAGAAAGCCTTAGAACTGAAAGGAAAAGACAGTTAACAGTGCTGACACAGAACTGGCAATTTTCTGATCTAAACTGTCAAAAAAATCTGCTTTGGTGAGATGGCAGTCCAGGAACCACAACAAAACAAAGGTCATCTTTGAGACAATCTGTGAACTAGGGCAGAAGTTTCTTTCAAAGCCCATCTAAGAAATGTAAGGAACACAGAAGAGGTGAGCAGAACAAGATAATGACTGGGAGACAGGAAGCAGAGGGGACAGAAGACCCTAGGTCCTCCTAACTGCTTTCATCACTGCATATTAAAGTTCATTTCCCCCAGAAACAGGACAGCATCCCAGATCTATGATACCTTTTATTCCGCTGCTCTCCTCCAGCTCCTATTTATGCAAGGTTCTGTCTGAGCTGGACTACGTCCTGTGATTTAAACCCAACCCAGCAGTGATAGATTCTTTACCTCCCTGTTTATCTGGAATTGCAGAGGGGGATCACACACGAGCCTAGGGGAAAAACACTCCTAGTAGGAATGAGGGCGGTGTTCTGTTGCACAGATGGTCTCCAACAGACTTGGGAGCAGATCTGAAAACATTCTGCAACAGGAAGAACTTCTAGGAAATCAAATTCTTTTCTGCTAGAGCACCCAAAATATTTATTTAGGTCAGAATCTGTAGTGTTTCTACGGTGGCAGTTACCTGCGCATGTCTTGGTAAGTACCAAAACAATAACAGATCCTGGTTTTGGATTAATTTTTGGATTTTTGGATTAGCACATTTTTGGATTAGTTTTCCATATTGCCTGAATAGAAGGGAATTTTCTATGAATTCGTATATACAGGGTTTTCTGGAGGTTACATTGCACAAGAAAGGTTCACCTTTGACTTAGAAGTGAAGGAACAGCACGTCATCAGAATTTAGGATCCCCTAGGAACACGGATGCTACAAGTGAATCCATAAGCACAGTGGCTGCATACTCATGCCTATTATTGCATGAGAGAAGCTTTCAGTCCTGCAGATATGGATAAAGTTCAGATTCAGGACAAGATAAATAAATAAAACCCAAGGCAACTAGATTCCACCGCCACTCCCAACGTAGAAAATTTCAGCCACGTTAACAGAAAAACTAAAGGATAAAGTAGCTTTCTCATCTGTGCTAACAAATGTCCCAAGGCTAGGGGACAGAAGGGCGACTGTAGTCCCAGTGAGATGGATTGGCAATCCAATGGAAGCTGTCGGGACACCTGGCTAAACTGTGCCTTTCATGAGCTTGAGACAGTGCTACCTTCTTGCTTCCTAGTGCTACCATTACATGTCATCTGCTGAAAAAAAGATGCCAGCTCTGAGTAACATTATTTTGTCAAACAGTAGGTACTGTGCTTGAATAGCTGAAGTAATGTATTCAGAGAGAGTTTCCATTCAGGCATCTACAACATTAATTCAAAGGGGTTTGCTCTGTGTAGCAGGATGGAAAACATTAATGTGACAAACAAATTGTTTCAACAGGTCAGATGTGCCTATTGCAGCCAACTGAGTAAGTATTTGAGTGTGTTATTCTTCCATTCCACCTTCCTTCAGCTTCCACAGGGGACAGGTTTGAAAAATAACTGGCTAATAAAAAGCACCTCATCTTACTAGCTGCAATTCTTGGGAGTAGGAAATGCATTAGCAAAAAATCTTATATGCTCCAGAGGGCACAAAAACAGCCAAGTGATCCCTTATATAATGGATGAAAACCATAGGAAGTTTGTACAAAAGGGCAGTTCATTTTTGCTTGCAATTGCAGGGAGTACTCAGCTACTTTTATTTAGGTGAGGATGGTTCTCTCCCATGTCAGAAGAGTACTGTGGCCAACTGTCTCTCTCCCACTGCCCTTTAACTCCTGTTGTTCATTGGGTGATCATGCTGAGAAAGGAGCAGGGGGTGAAGGGAGGAAAGGTCCTTCTAGAATAAAGCAAACAAAGAACACAGCTATATTCTTTTCTTCACAGCTTCAAGCATGCAGGTACTACACCAGCGCTGTTGCAGCTACCCTTGGCTCCTGTGTATTCTCTGGCTGATTATGCCTCCATGCATTCCTTGCTCTCCTTTGTTCCTCTCTTCCCTGCTGGGTGTCACTTGGTGGCATTCCAGCATGCCTCTCTGTCTTTGAAGGATGGCAGCTTCTCCCTGTTTTGCCAGTAGGCACATTCTTCAGTCCAGTGATTTGCTTGTCACTGCAAGCAGGTTTGTGAGGGCTGTTTTCTTGGTTTGTTTTGGCAATGAGTGCAGTAGATGTGATTTGTCTAGCACAGCAAGCTTCTTGTTATAAGTTTCTCAAATTCTTTTCCAAATTCTTGTTTGCACTGAGCATTCCTCTGTGCTGGCTGGTTCTGCAGCATGTACCTGTGCTCCGACTTGAAACTGTCAAATGTGATAGATGCAAACTACACAAACATGCATGAAATACCACATACCTAGTTCTGCCAACAAATTTATATCTCCAACCACAGTAAGTGGCTGCTAGAGAGGCAGCGGGTCTGTTCCTATTTTTTTCTAACGAAAAAAATTTATCCCTTTAACAAGTTTATCCCCCTCTCAATTCTTAATTTACCACACATGTCCTAGTACACAAACCACCTCCACTCACCAAGACACACATCAGCAGCAGGTGGACAGAAAACACCTGACACAAACATCCCTCCACCACCACCCTCACTTCTAGTCAACAGTATTCCTGACCAGTCAAGGGGTACTCACCCATAGAATAAAGGTTGTCAAAATTCTGATGCATCCGAATTATTTCATAATACAGCTCATCATAGCTGCTGGGAGTGGGGAGAAAGGTATCTCCATAAGTGATGAACATGTTGAACAGGTTCACAACCTATACAAGGAAGTGAAAAGAAGTTACAACAAGAATATTTACACAAAATCTACTCTGCAACAGAAACAATACGAATTATGACCAAAACCTTCAAATAAATAACTCGGTTGCATTACACAGTATTACATCATTGCTTTATCTATTATTTTCATTATAGTACAGAAGAGACAGACAAGAAGCTTAAATACTATTGTATCTGGGACCAGGAAAACAGGTTTATATTATTTGATATAAAAGGGCCACAGAACAAGAAAAAACATTACCAGATCTGGAAAATTAAACTAAGACTTTCCTCACATAGACTTGTTTATTTCAATGAGCAGACCCTACAAATAAGTCCAAGCACTGCCCTTTCCAAACATGTAGCAAAACCAACCACAATGATGTTCCTCAGCTTTGTGGCCTTGTTCTGGTATCTCTTTACCAGGCCAGAAATCCTGGATTCTTTCCTAAGATTCATTTAAAATTAATTAAGCTGTTTAAAGTAAGAGGATTTGCTTTGTCTGTACTCACCATAAGAGCAAGGGTGAATATGTTGTGCTTGGCCAGCAACACAGTCTCATTAGACATGAGGAACTTCAACAAGTTGATCAAAGCTAGGAGAAAATAATAAGTATTTTTTAAATAAAATTAAAAGCAAAGCCATTCTCAACAAGTCACTTAAATACAGATGCATTTTCATTATCTCGTATAAACTAACCTAGATGTCAGCAGCTCACTCTCAGAAATATATCAATTTACATGTGGGTTTTGGGGGGTTTTTTTTGTGGCTAAATACTGTGCTGGACAGGTAAGTGACAGCTGTTTTACTGTCCCATGTTTACTCTCCTTCACTGACTTCCCAATCAAATCTGCTCAGGCTCAAGGTAAGTCTCTTGTTAGCTCAGACAGTTCACAGGAGATTTTTCTATCTGCCAGATCCTGAAGTGAGCCTTGGGGGCGGAGGATCCCACTGTCTCGTTTCTGCTTCATACATCACCAACATGATGTATATGTAGTCAGCCTCAAACTGTCACTCTTGTTGATACATGCAGTTAAAAAAAAGTAAGAAAAAATAACAAAAAAACCATGGCATAGTTTTTCTGTAGCTCTATGTCAATGCTGCTGCAATGGTACAAGGAAGGATATAGTACTTTATTGTGTCAGTTATGTAGGGCTGTGAGGTAAAGACTACAGATCTGGTTCACACTTGTCTTAAGAAAACAACAAAAGCTCCTGCTGTAACCACCCCAAATCAGTTAGTGCTAGTGGGAATTAACAAAAAGGCTGGCTAAAAGATCTTTAATCAAACAGGCTTTACAATAAACAATTGTATTCCATACACTTGAATCAAATGAAAAGTTCTTTATCTTATTGTTTCTAGTTCTTGAAAAATTAAAAAAAGAAAGCTATTTTCTTCTGCATTATAGCTGCTCAGGGCTGAAAGCTGATGCCTGCCTAGAACAGATTCTTAATGTATTCTCTGCTCTGAAGTCAGCAGATTTCAAGACTTAAAACACCCAAATTAGATGGCCCACAAAGTCAAGCTGGAATGCTCTACAGGCTTTTTAAAAAAAGGTTCTTAATTGCCTACTAATTGGTAACTGCATCTAACAGAGTAATGCCAGGCATTACTTTGATTTGTTATAGGTTCACCTAGAATTTATTAATCTGTTCTTCCCCCTGTTACACACTACCCAGTAACCTGCAAGAAAACCAACTCTAGTTTGGGAGAACCCCACAACAAATACAGAACAGACCATTCATCTCAGCGCAAAGGTACAGGCTATGAAATAGGAGTAGATAAGACACAGGGAACAGGAATGAGGCAACGGCAAAATTTAGATACCCTTCCCCTCCCCCTCTTCAGGATTACAGAGTATTCAGAAAAGGTAAAACCAGAAAATCTACAGTAAAAAGACAGATGTGAAGAGACTGGTAAGATCTGGAATGAAACAAAATTGTCAGATTCTGGATACAGTCCTGCAACTACTACCTTCTGACAGAAGTTCATCGGGAGGATCAAAAGTTTATATATGCCCCCAAAAGGGAAGCCCACAGTCCTAGTGACGGTATTTGTTCATCACAGACAGAAACTACTTCAGTTTAATCTACCAGCTTGTGGCTTGATGCTGAACTGCAAACCAGAACAAAGTTCTCTGCAAACTCCAGACATGCAAGTGATTTATCTTTCAGAGCTATTCCAGGATTTAACAATCAGCAGCAGCACCTCTCCCTTCCATGACAGCAGCCCACCTCACGAAGCACATATACTAATACCTTTTCAATCCAGCCACAGAACTCCCCATACCATCATCACATCACCAGACTCAAACACCTGGGACCAAAAGCAGAGCCTGGATTCCACAGTAATCCAGCTCCAGAAATACTCCTGTCAGATATTTTTCTGTACAACAGCCGTTTCAAAACAAAGAAGTAGCAGGTACAGATGGGCTCTCCACCTGAGCAGATACCCAGCTAAAAACAGGTTTCCAAGGTAACCGAGCCTCCACAGCAAAAAAGTAGTCTCCAGCAGTCAGTGCCTTGGACTGAAGACAGCTGCCCTGCATCTCCGTCACTGCAGCTTATTGGCCATCTCTCTATTTAATAGATATAAGCATCGTTTTACCTCTTTCCTGGCCGCACAAGTCCACATAGCCACATCTCGTGACTGGGCGCTGCTGTTCAACTACTAGCAGTTGGGGCTTGTGAAAGCAGAGTAGCAGAGCTCTGAATCTTCTGTAACAAGTGGTGTGAAGCCTCTTGTCCATCCAACCGCCTCTCACTCTCCTACCAGGACCCAGCTGAAAGGCCTTTGGCAGAGGGTGGTCACACAGCACGACGAGAAGCCACTGAACATCCAAACACAGCGAACATGAAGGCTGCCCATGGTGGGGAGACACTATTTTTTAAAGAAGGAGCATAACCATCATTGTCTAGAGCGCAAGCACTCACTGACTGACAGGGGCATGTACCCTACAAGTGCTCACTGCAGTATTTCTCAGATATCTCCCTGAAGCACTTGCACTGCTCTGTAATGGTGACAACACTTGAAGGAGAACTGTTGCTCTGTTCTACCCCAACAACAGCTCCTCCGTTTGTTCCAGCCATTGTGATGAATTTGCTCATGTTTAATTTTCCCATTCCAGTTAGAAAGAAGACAAGAGATTACCACTGCTTGAAATCAGTTCTCACACCTGAATTGCACTGCATCATAGCCCACTCACAGCCGATCTATGCTGTTCCTTCCCTAAGAACTAGGAAGGAGATGGGATGTGTTTCACATGAAGAAGAAACTCAGTGCTGGGCTCAGTGCTGGTCAGAAGAGCTAATCCACCAGGTTTACAGCCTCTGTGTGCACGGCACAGACAAATTTATCCAACTGTTTGGAAACCACACATTCCTAAATAAGCTGCAGTGCTCCTAATTAGGATATACACTACATCGATGCTCAAAGAGCAACTAATCTTTTTCTACACCAGCACATTCTGCACCAGCCTCTGCTCAAGTGGCTCTAAGGAACAGGAACACTGTGGAAAACACGCCCTTAAATCTATGGCTACCTGTGTCTCCGCAGCTTGCTTGCAAGGCAGACCCCGCACTGAAAAGGAGGACAGCTATGCCCTGGAGCTTTCAGGATTAGCAGCTTTTAGATCCAGCTTCACATGCCCAGTACCCTTCAGTGACAATTACACACACAAAAAAACCCTTAGAGCAAAGGTCCAACTGGCTGTATGCCCCTCCGCCCCTGAGCTCCAACGGGGCATTGCTGCTGCTACTCCTGAGCAACCTGAAGCCAAACCAGATGTGTCACTTTCTCCCTGCTGCAATCAACTGTTCTCCTCTCATAGCCCATCTGCAGGCTGCCCTCTCACACGAGCCAGGAAATTATCCATGTTTATTCCCAACGGAGGAGCAGCTCAATCTCTCAGCTGCGCAGGCAGACAGAACTGTGGCCCTCGCTTGGGCTCAGCCACATCATCCTAATTCGCACTCCAGGATTTAACAGTGATGGATGGTTTGGGCATGAGGTCTATTTCAACATTAACTGGAAAACAGCACCATTTTTGCAATAGCCTCTAGAGCCTTTTTTTCTAAAGACACCTGTCTTTGGCATCCCTTACCAGGACACAATACACCCACTATGGTAAGTCTCAAAATATCTATAATTTCACAATGCAATAGTGCCAACAGAACTTCTTCAGCAACAGAAGCAGGAGGCTGTAACTAAACTAACCAGCAGCCATCACTATTTGCATGCAAGCTCCTCATTTTGTGACCTGAGCTGAGTACACTAGCTATGCTTCTTCAATCAACAAGAAGAGAACGCGGCCTTGAACATTTACAGCCTCAAAACCAAGTAGAAAAGCATGTTGAGTGGACACTTAAATTGGACATGAAGCCATATGATTGACTGTATGTGAAAGTGGTGTAAAGCATCCAGATTGGTTTTAGGCAATTTTCTCTCCCAAGGATTATTACAGCCAAAGGATGAAAAGTGACATTACCAGCTTTTACAGATACCCTCCCTGCTTTTTAAACTGAAATGACTGCAGTGAAAGATGTTCTTAGCTCTGCCGCCACACAGCTGCTTTTGAGGATGGACACTTTCTCTTATCAGCCCTCGTGGCCAGTCTGTCTAGTGAGGAGCAACAGTACTCCTGCTCAGTTATCTGCTGCCCTTCTTCAAGCCAATCCTCTGTAAGGAGGCTGTGGGCAGCCAGCATCTCCTCTTCTCTGCTACCAGGAAGGAGGTAATTCCTGTTCTGGACAGATGCCCCTCACTCTCTCCTCCCCCTATTCCTCCTCCCATAGCAGACTTACCTTCTCTTCCTGTAAGCCTTGTTTCAAAGAGAAGTAAATTCAGCCTCAGCACATTTGGGATTCATACAAAGTTTTTGTTCTATTTAGTGTCTCAGTGATCACATGTAATGCAACAGGAGTGTGGGGATAGGTTAAGTAGAGAAAAGGGGGAAAAAAGGAGAAGTAGTACCGTCCCTTGGGCAAGTCAGAATGTAGCACAGACTCTGCCAAGAGCATCAGAAGTCTCTGATGTGTTATTGCACAACAGAGCAAAAGAGAACAGCCCTGAGACAGACATCAGTGAGAGTTTGGATGGGTTGAGCACAGTATGGAGGACTCTGTCACTGCATCTGCTGTGCTCACAGGTCAAAAATCTTCTAATGGTGCATATAATGGCCCTTACCAAAGGAGCAAGGGAGAAAGAGAAATGTGAGGGCTCCTCAGAAGCTGCAATGTAACACCAATTAACACGATCCTGTATCTATTAAAATCCTCATATTTTCTACCCTACAACTCTCAGGGCACACTGGAAAGAACAGTGATTTTCTCTGTTCCCTCTGGAAGTTACCATTGTACCAACAGCATATTCAGTGTCCTGCTTTCAGTGTTTCAAGTCACAACCCCCTTACGATGATCCCCACCCACATGTCACTACAGGGCAGCTGATAATGACATCTGGGCAATACTTCCTTGCTGCAGAGAAATCCTCTGCCTCCCAGTGCTTCAGCAGCACGGTAACCATTCTGGACCTCTTACAGCCAGGCTGCTCACATACACATACTCTCAAGGCAAGGTGCATACCAGTCACAGTAGT